CTTAAAATTTAATGATTTCATTTTTCTCTTCGTATCCAGCCTTATCCAAATGGATCCGAACGGTTTTTTGAGGAATCCTTAACTCTTGGGGAAAGAGTGCTTACATGATGCCCATGATTCTATCGACATTTTCGAAAAATGGCCTTCCACTCCGTGAAGCATTTTTTACATCAGAATTACCTGTATGAAATCAAAATTGTGCATGAATAGTATCAGGACCATAAACGCTTTTCACAATTTTAAAAATTGAGGAATATAGATAACTTTCTCTTTCCTAGTGCCGATCATTGAGGCACACTCAAACTGACTTGCTATTTATCCTTAATCAAAGAAAAATTCTAGAATTCAGCGTCTTTTATGTTCGCTAATGTACATCTTTTAACATGAGCCAAGTGAACATGACTCCCGATATCTTCTAAGGACAAAATGTCCTCTTTCTAATGCCACATAACACAATACTAAAGCATTTGTAGAATGCCAGATGGTGATGCCACCAATATATGTGTAAAATTAATTAAAATTAAAAATTAAGATAAATTTTCTAATTGCGGTCGCCTCTCGGCTGGAATTGTCCACACCGCCGAGTGTGTTTCGGACATGAAATAAAGACTCCTCGTAAGAAAAAATCATCAGCCGTTTGGAAGCGGTTGAGTCCCTCCATTTGTTGGAAAAACATAAAGACAAAAAATCGCTTCAGCGGTTACAAAGCGCCAACATAGATAGAGGTTATTAATGTCGTCTACTGAAAAATTAACGGATTATTTTTTACTAGCAAGTAAGTGCACAATTTTGCTTTTTCGTAGCAATTCTATTCATTTTGTGGAAGTCTCTTGATATTTTACTTCAATCCAGACTTCCTGCTGAACTCTTGAATCCATTCTATCAAATTAGGTATATTCTACAAGCAGATATACAAACAAGATTTTTTCATGAATGGCATTCACCACACCTATTTAGCTCTAATAGACAATACATCTAATAAATAATTTCACCATGAAGTCACTGATAATCTTTTACCAACCAATGGTTAACACAAATGTCAGCAGCAAAATAGCTTTGATATTTCAAATCATTTATCTTTAATGAAACCACATTTACATTTGTTAAACTTTAAGTCGTATTTATGACAGCTTTTGTGTGCCTGTGAATTATCTTATGACTCATATATATATATAAATTTAACATGTACTAGTTTGTTACTAGTAGCATGTTACACAAGTCTAAGTAATCCGTTACCTATTAGAAGTGGGTACTGTCAGGTTTTAGTATGAAAGTAATTCCGCATTCGAAAGAATCACTAGTTCGGTGATGAACCAAAGTTTTTGCTTCCTTTATTTCGTTAAGTCATATGAAAAATTAAAAATATTATATATGTATTATGTAATATAACTTTAAATAGGTGTTTTTGATATTATACCATAACCCTTTCCGACCATTTTGCTATTCCACAGACAATGAAAATTTCAACCACTTTCTCTATGAATTTTAGTTCCATATTTCAGTATGTACGAGTATATACATATTCAATTCAATGTTTGCCCTCAATTTGATTTGAATCGCCTGATTACATCTGGGATTACCAAGAGTTGTGCCTATGTAGCTGTTATAGTCCCAGCTCACAACTGCCTCCATGAAATTGGCATTTTCCCCTTGAACTGTTGTCATTTATGTTACATACAAATTTCAGTTCACGCTTAGCATAACATGGCATTATTTATTGGTGCATTTGTGTGAATTTCCAACCATTACTTGTTTGCATTCCTGAGAACATCTGTGCGGTAATGCATATTCCGTTAGTTGACTAGCGTTGTCTTACGAGCATAAATGTCAAGTAATTGAGTAGTTTGCTGTCCTGCTATTTCCCAGCTGCCCTGCTGATGCTGCCAATTCCCATTACGCAGCTGTTATGCGCATAGTCATTTATGGAATACGTACATACACAGGAAAATTTATCGATTTGCCAAAGGTCGATCTCAATTAAGTCTCGATCGACATTTGCTTAAGGTGTTATTATTAATATCTTGGGTTCGAAAATTCGAATTCAATTTAGTTTGTTTATGAGTATTTTTTTATAATTAAAATTAAAATAAATATTCAGGGCTGTTATATAAACCGACACGGAATTGATTATTTATCGGAATTGAAAATCAATATCTGTTTGAAATGGTGTTATGAAACCGAAATGATTTTACTTTTTTGAGATAAGCAAAACCGATATTCGAATCAGCAGTCATCACACTTGTGCAAAAAACCCAGCAACTCAATTTATTCTTAATTCTGGTACTAACATATTTGTTCTCATTAAAAATAAAAAGACTCCGGCAGTGATAGCATTTTTGATGACGTAAGGATATGGAGAAATAAAACAGGAAATAAAGCGTAAAATTGTAAAGAATAAGAGCAATCCGCTGGAGCTGCCAGAGGCGACGTAAGTGCTATTTTCATTCTACTTTAACATATGCTGATACAAAATTCGTTCGTATGTAGATTCAAAGACCAATATCGCCTTAATAAAGAGGCCTTTGTAATAGTGTTGGATGTCATTGAAGACCAGTTATATAGACTGTCCATTCCACATGTGCGCCAACTTTCAACCTCACTGTATTTTTTGGCATAAGGCTCCTATTAATGGTCTGTGAGACTCAAATATCTACTTAGCGTGACCCACAGTCTCGGTGGTTATAAGAGAAGTGCTAAAGGCTTTTGGTAATTTGAGTTGTTTACGCTGAATAAAGTTAGAACTGAACGACAATGGAAAACGGAAAGCTCATGACCATTTTTACATGAACTACCATATTCCAGGCATTGCTGGTTATAAAATCCATTGTTCATGACTTAATTCTTTCAACGAATAACTGATCGATTTAGTTCTAACATTTAAACCGATAAATCCGTTTTTTGTTACACCTAAAATCAACATAAATTCTGTTTCGAAAATGATACCGATTTGCAAATCAATGATCGGAATTTGTCACCCCTTCAAGAGAAATTTGTCGGTGTCAATTCTGATTCCGACAACAATCTGTTTCATTAACACTACTGATTTTAATATTTTTAAGTAACTGATTTCTAAAATTTTTTTTAGTTTGAGAATCAAGGAAAACTAATAAATTAAATTAAAAAAATTAAAAACACATTTTCCGAAATGTTGATAAAGTATATTTTAATTAAAAAAATTGTGTAAGATATTTTATAAGGGCGCACACACTGCATTAACAGAGTTGAAAGGGTTTAGATGTTAATGTTGTAAGTGATGATCGAGCATGGCTTTTGCATTCTTGAGGTAGGTAAAGCTCCCCTTTCACACGGGTGTGATATTAACTCTCGATCTTAGGAAAGAGGTAACCATAATGTTTGCGAATGTTACAGCTTTACATCTGTTAAACTAGTAGATTTCTGTGAAACTCAGAAACATCTTAGACTTACCATTCTACATTTACCAGCAGGAAATGGTTTGTTGGATCTAATGAGGATAGATATTAATTTGGAGGTTAACTGCAATGGCTTTACAGTATTTGCAATTGAAAACACTCCCTTAGAGATGGTTAACTTCTTGGCACAAAAAACATCTTAAGGTTATTACAGGTTATTCCATGACAAGACATGACGTCACGTAACACTTGTACTATGTACAATAACGCCATCTCTTAGATAAATACCAATATATGTAGGTAAAGAGAAAATACTGTCGCGATCTCAAAAAAATCTTAGTACTTATACAGACCGGAGGTTGGGACCTAGTATATAGCGAACAAAAGAGGTGTGATATTTATAGTAGCACATCTAGGAATGACTAGAAATTGATTTTTTTGGTTCAATTGAAAAAAAGCATGTTTTTGGGTAACGAAAAATATCAATGTAGAAACTAGCTAAAATGGGAAGGGGGTGTTGTTAAAGGTGGCAACTTTCCAGCAGTATCCGCTGATGAAAGCAGAGAAAGAGGAAGACCTCAAGCCCGTTGGAAAGATCAGATGGAGAGGAGTGGACTTGACTTAGTATCTCGCATTGGCACCAAACTGCGAAGATGAGAAACGATTGGATTAGCTTTATAGAAACAGCTTTTGCTGTGTATTGAACTGCTTTCAGAACCAAATTTCGTTTACATGAAAATCCAAATACGCAATTCTCAATTAGTTTTTGTATACGCATTGGTCACGTTGGAAGCACTTCTGATTCACTTGCTAGAGATTCCTCTACAACCTTATTTATAAAAATGTTTATTTTTATTAAAACATTTAATACCCCTAAGAGATTGTTTGAAAAGATGGCACATTAACTTTAAAAAACTTAGAAAATACAGTTTTGTATCGACTCCAGAAATCAATTCAAGAGAATAATATACAAAAATATAACACAAAAAAATATAGTATGGTGTTACAAATGTTTAAAAATATCGTTTGCTTCTTTGATGTAATAAATGGTTTAATTTTTTTTACTTATATTATTAATTTTTTAAATACAAAACTTGAAAGAATTAAACAAAATAAAATTTAATCTCCCTTTACGTTGTCTGTTTTATATTTGTATTTCAAAAATTGTTATTATTTTTTTCTTTTAGATGTTATAAATAAGTGGCAACCCTCTTCAAACCTATCATAAATAGGTGGCAGCGTTCTTCAACACTATTTTCATTTTCAAACCGGCTAAATAATAGAAAATTGTGAACAAATTTGGAATAATCGCGGTATTAGAAATTTTTTCGCAGCGTCATCTGGCGAGTATATTGCAAGTACAGTGAAATTATTACACATTAACACTCTCAACATTCGTTAATTCAATGACTAATAATTTCATATAATGAAAACTACCAAAACTTGAAAATCATGATATCTCAGCGATATAAGTTTTTAGGAAAAAAAAAAAATCTAATTCCTTTTAATTACATTTACCAATTACATTTATTTCTCATTATTTGTTTAGAAAATCGAAATCTATTAAGTCGTCTGATCAGTCAACGCAATAATGATAAGACAAGATAGAAATTGAAATATTTAACTCACCATTATCATCGTATATGATGCGAAATGAATCCGAATGCAGATGACCGAAAAATTGACCCTGAATAATTGACGAGTATTTACGCACCAACTCCAAGTACCGTTTGTTATTTGTTTCTGTAAATGTGGTGCGGCCATTTTGCTGCAAACCGATGTGTCGCTCATCCGAGCCGGGCGGAATGTGACCGACTATGTAGACCTGCAAGAAGAAAGGATAATTTATTTAAACTTACTTAATTATTTAAATTCACAAATTTAATGAAATACGTGTGTGCTTTGGATATGTTTGGAAACAAAATTTCGCGCACTTTTTTTCTAAAGCAAGCTAAAAGTAACAGCTGATAACTGACACAAGAAAGAATGCAATTACAGAGTCACAAGCCGTTGAGAAAATTTGTCAACGCCGACTATATGAAAAATCCGCAATTACTTTTTGGGCAACCCAATATAATATGTTAGGTAATATTAAAGAATGAAATGAATATTATTAATTATACTTTAAAATTAAAATTAATCAGATATTTCTATTTAAATGATAAATTTTATTTGTCACTTTAACTATACTGTCTTCACTTTTCCAGCCTTTCATTGCAAATCATGCTCCACTGTCTATTGTACTCAGACGTTTAGCCAGATAAACTTTTATAGGCCATACTTATCTTCCACTTGAATAGGTTCAAATTCTGCAATAAGAGTAACTTTTACAAATTGAACTTGAAATCACAATCACACACTCACACAGACACGCATACAAACCATAGATTAAGCGAAAACAAATTGTTAATGAATTATTTATGTATGTACATACAAAGGTTGGGTATATAAACATACAAATATTTCTGCGAAATAAACTCATTTTCATTTAAAGCAAACACAAAGAACACTTTGGCGGCAAATAGTCGGAAAATATATTGGAAAATTGCGCAGACAAATAAATTGTGGGCAATTAGCGAGTCAAGTGGGTTGAATGTTTGTTGAGTGGGCTCTTAAAACTCGTATAACGACATTACTTAGGAAAGTTTTTCGAAGAAATGTGCAAAGCTTAGTAATTGCCGCTTGGTTTTATAGTTAAAATAATATATTTTTGAAAACTTTTTTCGCGTTATATATTTTTGAAAATAAGAAGATACTGCAACTAAATTTAGTGGGCACTTATTTTTATGAACGGAAATATTAATTTATACATACCGCTTGGAAGGCCACGGTTCAAATACTGGTACGACCAGCATCCAAAAGTTATAGAAAATCAATTTAACAAAATTAAATTTTTTAATTGCGGTCGCCTCTCGGGAATGTCAACCTACCGAGTGTCTTTCTGACATGAAATAAAGCTCCTCATAAAAACCATCAGCCGTTCGGAGGCGACTTAGTATAAACTTCAGATCCCTCCATTTGTTGGAAAAATGTCAAGACCCAAAACCCCAAATTGGAGAAGGAGCTCGTCGGAAAATCGCTTCAGCGCTTACAAAGCGCCAATTATATAATGAGTTAAAACAATATATCATATTTTGATTACTACTGCGCCTGTTAAAATTGAAAAGCTCGAAATCGTATAAAGAATATAACAACTCACAATCTACTGAGGTTAATCTTAGTTGGAATGAAAACGTAATGCCTTCCCATGAAGAAAAAATGCAAGATTGTGAATATTTTTAGTTATGAATAAAGCAACAACAACAGTTTGTAATCAAACAATAGTATTTACCTCAACAACCATAAAATCTGGCAACAACAGACAACTAACAAAGGACGAACAAGACAAACAAGGTTTTAAATAAAACCAGGCAGGTGCTTAAATAATAGATATACATTTTTGTTTGTAAATTGTATGAACAAAGTAAACATTTAAAGCACGGTTAATACCTTAACAAATACCACACATTTCAAAGCGAGCGACAGGGTTTACACTCTTAGCCATGTATATATTTATATATATATATCTGCATAAGCACTCTGCCACTCATGTTGGATAATTTAGCTCAAATAGACCTAATTAACAAGCTAAGCCTCGTGTCACGCGTTGAAACATTTTAATTTCAAAATTAAACATCAACAGTTTAAAAGAACATACAAATCTGTCAAGCATGCAAACTAACTACGAACGAACTAACTACCCATGTACCGTTGCATGCTGACAACTCAACTTATTTAAATATAAATATACTCTCATGCATGTATGTATGTATGTATGTAGTTGTAGGAATAAGTGTATTTAAGATTAAATCAGCAAATGGCAATGAGGCCCAGACAAAAGGCGAAAGACAAAGAAAGTCGTGAAGTCAAGCATGCAAAGATGTGCTTGTGTGCTTATGCATGTAAGTGTGTGTGTTAGGGCATAAAATTTGTTCAAGCAAAGGAGTACATACACAGCTTTGAAGAAACGGATTTAGTGCGGAAAGTCACTTTGTTGCTACCATAGCCTGCCGTCCTCAATACTGCTTATGCGACTCTTTAGCTTGGCCGTGACCGATTTGAGAATTTAAGCTACTAACTTTTCACACAAGTATATTGCCGAATCAGTCGAGAAAGCAAGCGCTGGATATTCGATTTTGAAGCACTTTAATTTACAAAAGCACTACAAAAGTCAGCTAAGTGTGGCACTAAATGGTAGTAGAGAAATTACAGGGAATAGCAAATTTTTCGAGCAATGAAAAAACAACAAAAGAAACAAAGAAGATTCGGAAAACTACTAAAACAAGCTGAAAAACAAATAAAATAAAATTTAAAAAAAAAATAACATAAAGCAAAACTATGTAAAAAAATTAAATTAAATATAAAAAACTAAATTAACTAAAAAATTGAAATAATCTTTAATAAAATAAAACAAATGGTATAAAAAATAGAATAAAATAACAAAAAATAAAATAAAACAGAATATAATAAGCTAAAATAAAATAAAATAATAAAAAAAATAAATTGAATTATATAAAAAGAAAATTATTTAATTGAAATAAAATAAAGTAGAAAAAAAATTAATATGAAATGAAACGAATTAAAAAGTAAGTAAAATAAAATTAAAAAGTACAATCAAAAAAAATTTATAATATAAATTAAAAAATAAAAAAGTAATAGTGTAAAATAAAAGCAAACATAAAAAACAGCAAAATATAAATTAAAATAATATAAAGTAAAATACTATAAAACGAAATTGGATAAAATAATGAAATTAAATAAACTAATTACTGCTAAAAAGATGAAATAAATTAATTTAAATTTAATAAAAAAGTAAAATAAATGAAATAAAATATAATAGAATAAAATAAAATTAAATTAAATTTATTTAAATCAAATTAAATTAAATTAATTTAAACTAAATTAAATTAAAGAAAAATAAATATAAAATAAATTATATGAAGGGAAATCAAACAAGATATATTGAAATAAAATAAAATAAAGCAAAATAAAACTAAAAATAAAATAAAGTTAAATAAAAAAAAATTAAATAAAATAAAGAAAAATAAAACAAAGTAAAATAAAATTAAATTAAATAAAAGAAATTAAATTAAATAGCAAAGCAAATAATGAAGTAAACCAAATGCAGTGGAATTAAATTAATGAAAAAATGTTTCATTATATGAAATCCGGAAAAATAGAATTATCAGAACGGAATAAAATGCAAAAATTATATAAAAAGTTAGATAAAATATTATAAATTAGTAATCACAATCGTATTGTTTTTTATGCCGTTCTAATCTTTCGCCAAACAACATTTTTTTTCTCTTCGCTGGCATAACTTATGGTTTTAACTGCTTTTAACTTTTGCTTAACGAATAAACAATAATAACTCGCTACGTATCTAAGGGTGTGCGATTGTACGGTAATGTTGTTGTTCTCTACCAGCTTATTAAGCTAGTTTACGCTTAACCACTGCACCACTTAAGCCACAGAACGTCATTACTCGCATTCCCTTGTGTGAACAACCATGTCCTTTATCCTTTATTTATTTATGTTTGTACACACTTTGAATTCCCTTAGCTTGCTGTTATTCGCTGGGGGACTCTTTAATCTATTTATGTAAATTTAATCCCATTTCGTTCTACATTTGGCAATTTTTCCCAGCTCGACAGCGAACTTTTCTCAAATGCCTCTTTACCTTTTGGCGCATTTACTTAAATACATTTGTTCATTTGCTCATATATACATATTGTACATATGTATTGTACATGTGTGTTTGCATGCCCACTTTTTACATTCTTCTATTGCCAGAATGTGCCTTTGTTTTTTATTTAGGAAATACTTGTTACTGCTTCTTTATTTGTTTGTATGTTCTTTGCATTGCCACACTGGAATTAAGTCAACCGCCAAAATGAGAGTAGCGAGTAAATTATTTAAATGAGATAAACATAAACTGCAAATCTACTTAAGCTATTTTTCACTAAGTGCGCAAGGACATACATAGGCAATAGTTGGTTGTTTAAACAGAGAAAGAAATGGTAAGCCAACACATGTTTAGTGTCAAAAACACATACACACTAACACATGCGGGTATATATTTGAAAAAAATATCCCTTTAATCACTGTAAAATATTTTTGTGTTTTAACGCTCTTAATTTAACAACGACTACAATCCATTTTTTTTTTTTTTTTTGTAAAATTTTTGCTTTAATTAAGATGTAATGTAAGCTCTCTTTTATTTGTTTATAACTTTTCTTTATCTCATCTCTATTTTCTTATCTTTACCTATTTTACAGAAATTAAGCAAGTAGAAAAATGTCCTAGCCGTATAATGTGAAGCCCAGTACTGCAGTAAAATTCGCCAAGTTTATATCTTAGTCACATCCAGAATGTACTTTGTAGGCATATTAAATTCTTAAAAACAACGAAACTTGTTTTTCAACCATGGCCAACTAGCCATGTAACTGGCTTTTTCCGAAGCACACCAAAAAGAAACATGAATATATGATTCCAGATGTCATTTGTTATACTAGTTCACTTGCTTATTTTTTTAACCAAATACAGCATGCTATGAGATGTATTGAGGTGTGAGATCACCCTCATGAGGACGACCTTCGAAAGTGTTTTTAGGCTCACGCACGATGTGAAAGAAGAAATTCATAGAATAACAGTCGCGAAATACTGCTTCTATGGCGAAATATAACAAACAAGTTTTTCGATTAACCGAGGATTTAGCATGTGTTCTACTCCACTTACGCACTTGGAACGGCATCTCAAAACTCCTACGTGCTACCGCTATGGGAA